AATCAGCTCTCACCGTTTACTCCAATCCCAAGGATTCTGGAAGCCACTACCGAACATCTAAACAAAAGGAAACTATCCCAAAGTTCAGTCAAGAGCTGAGTATTATGGTTAGCACAGGAACCCAGAATTAAGGTTGCATAGAGAAGTGTACTCGGGGTGGGGGGTGAGGGGGAAGGGATAGGGGAATTGTATACCAATGAAGGGATTTTTTTTTTTCTTTTCGGGGAGGGGAGCGAACTGGTGGAGAGGGGTGGGCTGGGAGAAAAGTGCGGCAGTGAATGAATGGAAATCCAAAATCTCTGTAAATGTTTATTAAAATTAGTTTTAAAAAAAGGGAAAAAAAGAGCTGTGTCCCAAAGTAGTCATGGGATTGCTCAGTGTAAGAGGCAAGGCCTCAAGGAAGACCTCAGAGTAGTATTATCCTTTTATCAATTTTTGTGTGGCGTGGTCAACCACTTGGTCTTTAGTCTTCTGGAGTAAATACACATCAACAACTATGAAACTATTTGAGAGATCTGAGTAATTGATATTCAGGGGTATAAGGGAGTAGAGTATATATGAAAGTGAGTTCCTCTTCAAAATACACAAAGCTCCAGAACAAAGTATAAATCTATCCATTGTTACCTTTGGTCATACATGAAAGATTTGCCTCTGGCCTGGCAGGGAGACAGACCATCAAGAGCGTGTACCTTGTCTATTACAATATGACCACAAGAGCCATCACTCAGTTCAAGAGATGTTGAACTTTGGTCCCTAACTTCAAGAATGAGTGAGAATGGAAGTACCATGCTACTATTTGGCTAGTTCTTCCTGTGGCAGTGGCACACCTTTTGGCTCTTTGACCAACTTGCATTCCTGCCTATTGAGATGCCCTGGGAAATCCCAAAGAAAAAGTAGCTATTTTGTTTCCTTGCTGGCAGAGTTCAGAGTTAAAAGTCAGACTACTCCTCAATCCACTGGGTCACATCTTGAGCTTGATCAGATTGTGGAGGGTGGGGACATTATTGACATTATTCCTCAAGGGGGGCTGAGGCATCACAAGGGACTTTTAGTTCTCCTATTTCTTTAGATCTCAGAACTGTTTAAAAACTCTGCTCCTTATGCCAGGGTCTCATCCCACTTGAAGGATTTACTTCCCAGGTTCTGAATTCCCTTCATATGAACTGTTTTACATGGTGGTCTGATTAGTGCTTGTAAGACGCAAGACAGATTGTCTCCAACTTTGGAATTTCATATGTCCTTTCTCATCCCAGTTTTCTTATAACTTCCCCATCTCTCTCTTCACTTCTGGTCTTATTTAGTGTTTTCATAGCATGTTATAGCTGAGTTCCTTGTGATCATTTTTAGGAGTTACACAACAAATCATGTGCAGAGCATGAGCCAGTACTTAGCCAAAGAATGAAATGGAACCGCTCCGCCAAACCAAGCTTCATAATCTTCCTTTAATAAAACCCTACTGTGTCATTTACTGTTGTCTCTGTTTTGAAAACTTGAACCTCCATCAGCCTGTTTTAGAGGGGGTACTACAGGGTTTACTGCGCAAATGGTTTGGCTTACAATTAAACTGAGACTCAAGTGGGCTGTTTCTTAGATGTAAAAAAAACGAAAGGAAATGGGAAAGGACGTACTTGGTGGGGAAAAATGTTTCTCCACTGTAACTGCCTTGAAAATACTTGCTCGTTTCCTAAATAACAATACATTGGAACTTCTTTGGATTTTGTAGAACAGGTTCCATATCTTAAAATAAAAATTCTGATTTGTCTTGCTACCTAAACAAATCCTGTTATAGTCAGTCCTTTAGGGCGATTTGGTACTAGTAGCTTTGTATATCTCGTCTTACTTTGACATGATCTTCTCATAAGCGTCACTTTCAAATATGCTACCTGTTGCCATATGATGTTTGGTCAGTCATTTATTGAACTCTTTACCATTCAAATCCATCTAGTTAGGAACCTCCAGGGAGAACTCTACTGAAAATAAAGATGAGAGCACCCAGTATCTTAAGATTAAGAGTATCATAACTTCTTTTTAAGAAGACAGGAAAATGTGACACAATTTGGAATGCTTTTTGTCACAAATGTTTGATAAGGTGTAGTGCTAGAATCTGGCATAGCCAGGTGACCCTCAGCAACTCATTTAATCTGTTGAGCTTCAGTGTCCTTATCTCTTACATGTAAGCCCTTCAGTCATGCTCTCTAGGGTACTTTCCAACTCTAAGACATCTTTAATCCTATGGTTCCTGGACCATGTCCTCACTTCAGGCCTGTTTGCTCATCTATAAAATGGAAGGGCAGAAAAGTATCAAAGTCCTAACAATCTGTGACTTTAAAGGAATGAACTATGAGCTACCCAGGAAGGCTATTCTTCCAGGGTGTTGGTTAGCCAAGATTTTACTGTACATGAATTCATAGTTAATAATATTCATGTGAGGCTGAGGAAAACACTTGGGGCTAGTTAAAACTGTAGAAGACTCTTCATAGGGAACATTGATCTCTGTGTATTTAATAATTACTGTCTTTCTGTTGGATATTTCTTAATTTTCTGAGCTAAAGTTCTCTGTGGAATATTGAGGGTGAGTGTGTGTCTGGCAGTTAAATTGTGCTCCTGAGAGTACTAATCCCCTCTTCTTGTTCCCAAGAGCACCACTGAGAAGAAATGGCCATAGGGAACAGATACCTGGTTGCAGGGTGGCCTGGAAATGCACCTCACCTGCTCTGTGGTCATTTTTGCTTCTAGAAATCAGTATTTAAAAAATTGCTTGTACTGATAGAGAAGACTGCTCTAACCTTTTAGTATTAACCTCCAACAAGGAGGGTGAAGGAAAGGGAATGAGAAAACTTCAGAATTTTTTAGCTGCCAGTGTACGATTATACCCCTGATCATTTCTGAGCACGAGTGGGAGTGAGGGAAAGATGGAATCAACTATAATGTTCTCGAGTCAATTTATCTTTCAAAACCCATTTTGTTGTTGTTAAATGCTGTGGAGTCAATACTGACAAATCGGCTTTTCTTTATGGGAACAGATCACCAGATTTCTCCTAGGTAGGGAGCAAATGGGTGCTTTGGAACACTAAGCTTTTGTTTAGCAGTTGAGCATTTAACTACTGCATCATCAGGGCTCTTCCTTAGAAAACTAGAAAGATGAAAATCAGTTCCATTTCTCTGTCAGACCAACCTGACTCCAGGATTGCTTCCATCCTTGTGAACTCTGAATAGCTCCCTATAGCCTGACAGATGGCTTTTCTGTTCTTGCCTGGCATTCAAATCCATCCAAAACATGATCTTTCTCACACATTCTTCTACCTGTCTAAGCTTCATAATTCCATATGCCCCAGCACACCATCTTCTAGCTTTTGTTTATTTCATTCTTCTGCCGGAGATGCTTTCTCAGCTTTTGCCCACTTAACTATAGGACTGTCTTAAAAATTTAACTTAAGCCCTATCTCTCTTTCCAACCTCCCCCCCCCGTCTATCCTGAATGTGCTAGGTTTCACTGCACCCAAACCTTGGAAGACTTTCCTACACCCCCATTTCTAAAGTCAATCCTGCTCTACCCATATGTTGTTGTTGGTTTTGTGTATCATCGAGTCTGAACTGACCCATAGCCGACCCTGCAGCAGATTAACAGAGACAGTAAATCTCATGGGAAGAGATTGCCCATCTTTCTCTCTCAGAGCAGCTAGTGGATTCAAACCATGTCTTTTTGTGGTTCTATCATATAGCATGTGTTAAATTCTGCAATATTCTTAGCCCAATAGGTACCTCTCCAAGTCTTGGCTGTGGGAGTGGGAGTGGGAGTGTGGTATGGCTGGTGGTTAAGGTCCAAAGAGCCAGCCATCTGTGGACTTGAAGGAAATGTGCTTGAGCTCCAGTCTGGCAAAGAAAGACACAGTGATGGGCAGGTTCCATAACTGTAGCTTATGTTTCACAGTGGGCTTAGTCTGGAAAGCTGTTTGTTAAAGGACTTTGAGATACTGAATAATTTGAAGTGACTGTGTGGAGGAGGGGGAAGGAAAGAGAAAGAAAGAATGGGAGCTTTCACAGTGGGAGAGAAATGCCAACGCAACCTCCTCTCTCTCTCTCTCTCCTTCTCCTCAGCACACATCTTATCTCTCTTTTCTTTTCTTTTTTTTATTATTTAAGACCTTTATTAACAGGTGCTTGCAGTTTTGTTGACTTTTTTTGAAAAAATCAAGTTGTAAACTTTTATTACAAATTAAAAATGAGGTTCTTAAAAATCTCAACTTGACCAGATATGAAACAATTTAAAAACCTTTAAAGGTGTATTGAGAAAAAACAGGCTTTTTAAGAAACACGTTTGTCATTACCAAAAAGAGACATCTTTAGGTAAAAATAATAAAAACTCCATGCTGCATAGATAATGCAGATAGTTCTAGTTATCTGGTCAACGGGCAAAAAGTAAGCACTTAAGGTCTTCAGCTCCAATCTTTTGTTCATTTCTTATTGCTGGAATTTCATATTCATTTCTTCTTGTTGGATGACTAAACCGGATGATGGTAGAGATGGTAAGCCGGCATTTACTCAGCCCCGCCCTTACCTCTCTTTTCTTAATTCACCTTTTCTAGTCCTAGTTAGAATCCCTGCTGCTGTACCACAGGTAGAGCCACTCCTTGTCTCTCAGCAGAGGCTTGTGTGTTACTTGATTGCTGAACAAGTCTGAGCAGAATGTCCACACTAGAAAGTGGGCCTGGTGCTCTACATTGGAAAGACAACCAGTGAAAAGCCTACAGATCACCACAGTCCTGTCTGTAAGCAGTCATAGAGATGGCTCTGCTCTGTTTCATTATGCCTGGGGCTGCCGTGAATTGGGGCTGATGGATAGCAGCTAGCATCAGCAACTGTCTAGCCTGTCAATGGTGGTCAGTTGCAGCTCATTCTTTTGTTCCATTCATGGGCAACCCTTGACTGTCATCTTGATAAGCAGACAACTTCTGTGTCCCACCCCCCACTCAGCTTCTCTTTTCCTTCTCACTCATCAGGTAAATCCCACAACCCAGTGTACCCATGCCCTGCTGAAAATGACCTACTGCTCCCACTGCCGGGGCCTGGTGACCGTGAAGCCATGCTACAACTACTGCTCCAACATCATGAGAGGCTGTTTGGCCCACCAAGGGGATCTGGATTTTGAGTGGAACAATTTCATAGGTGAGCACGCGATCAGTGTGTGTGGAGACGAGCCTGCTTCAAGCTACAAGGAATGTTGTCATTACTAGCTGTAAAAATCCTAGTCATCATTTCCTGTTTGCTGCTGTTTTGACTGCGCTCCGAGAGCATATGGCATCTCACAGCATATTCCCGCAAACTCATGGTGACATTTCTAAGGGTATTAGACATAGTGACTACCAAGTTTTAATAACGAGAGAGTGCTTTTTGTGATATTTCACGCCAAAGGTCACACACGATAGGTCTGTAGCCATGTCAGCGCTGGAGTCCAGCCCTCTCTATACTGACCAGGTGGCTATTGCATTGTGGTTGTTTGGCAGACTGGCTGATGACCAACTTGGTACTTAGATCAGGTGGCTGTTTGGACTCACTTGAAATTTGGTGGTGGAAAGGAGGGATTCTATTTCTCCAGAGAACTTAGCAATCTTAGACTGCTTGGATTGCCAAGGGAAGGTTACTGCCATGATAATTTTGAAGCTAAGGGCATATCCCCTCCACCTAGAAATCTGTGACCACAACCCAGACTTGTGCATCTAGTGGTTGGTCTATTACAGCGTTTGCTGGGATTTTTGAACAAGGCCCTTGATTTCAATACCCAGTTGTTAACTAGGGAGCTCTGACGTCTGGCCTAGCAGATGAAGAGTTATACTACTGACCCAAAGGCGGGCAGTTCGAGCCCACCAGCTGCTTCACAGAAGAAAGATGGGCAATCTCCTCCCATGCAATTGACTTCCTCTGAAAAGCCATTGGAGGGCCAGCTGTGAGTTAGTTCTGACTCAACAGCAATGAGTTAGTTGGTTTAGTCATCAGCTAATTTGGTCCTGAAGCCCAAGTGTCCAGTGTTGGAACTCTGCAGACCAGGAGCCAGGAGGCCTGCACATGCAATGCTTCTCAAGCCCAGCTCACTTTGCCCCATCCACCACCCAGCATTCTTTGCTTAATTACAGATTTTGAGGGTCTTTCTAAGCACCTATTTTTGCACTGATTTGTCCACATCATGGGAACATGCATGTAATTTGCTGGCTTGTTTCTGTTTGGGGGGGTGGGGGAGGGGAGGTGTGGGTTGGGGAATGCTTTTTAGTCTGCATGAGAACTAATTACCATATTAACTCTGTTTGAAAGTGCATCAATAAATTGGCTCCAACAGATTCTTGAGAACACTGACATAAGGGGAGGGGGAGAAGGAAAAAAGGATGTGAATATTAAGCACCTCAGCACAATTGTTGCCTAAACAGCTCAAAGCTAGAAGACCTTGGAGAAAAAAAACCAACACAAAAACCAACCAAAAATAAAACAACCCCAAAACAAAACTAAAAGCCCCTTCTACACACAGAAAAGCAGAATTCCACGAAAGAGAAGGCCTGTTCCCAACAGAAACACACCCCCACATCCAGTGACATGACATTCCCAAAGCGTATGTGGAAGTGAGGTTGGAATATTGATGAAGCCACATTTTTTAAAATATTTATAATAGACTAGAATTTGGCAGAGAGATCAGAAAGATAGGAGAATGATCTAGTTTTGCTCTCTTTTGGACGGGGCCATATGCAGAGGGGCTAGTTTCTGGAACTTTCCATTCCCATCTTACATACCCAGCTATCCAACAGAAACGAGACCTACAGTCCTCATATCCTTGCATTAAAATACAAATTATTTTTCCAAGAGTTTGAAGGTCCGGAACAAATCAAAACCATACTCTGGCTTGCTTAATTAGTGTTCACGACCAGCTGCTCTAAAGCAAGGCAGACATGGTCACCATCATGTATTTAAAAAGTTACATTTATCATCTTGGAATAAAAGACAATGCAGCCCAAGTAGAAATTGATAGAGTTCTGGAACCCATTTCCCTCCAAGTTCTTTTAAGGGATAATTTTTTGAAGGGATGAGGTGTATAAACTATGCCCAGACCTTGTTTTTACCAACATGGATATAATAGCCTCTATTTCTAATAATCTTATTCTTAAAAAAAAATCCACACATTGAACTCCATGAATTTTTCACAAAAGTTTAATTGACCTGCTTTGAGGTTGTAGAACTCCATCCTGATTTACATGTCACTGGTATGAATTCTCCCCACCCACCTCTCTTGTCCCTTTTTTTTTTCTTTGCGAGGAATTTTTCTGTCCCCTTCATTTGACTGCACTTAATGAATGGTCAAGGGCTTCCCCCTTCCAAGCTTCTTGAAATCAGTTCTCCGGGTTAAGTCGGGAAGCTGCCTTTTGTCGGGAGCCTGACGATGTGGGTTTCTGATTCTCGACAGCACAATGCAAGAGGCATCACTCTCCATCCCGAGTGAGAAGGGGAGGCTTTGTTGACAGGGGGGGGCGACTCAGTGTCCTGAAATGATGCCGTTGTACTCACCGCTTTAAGGATGGGTATTTCCAGCCTGCCTTCTTGATGCCATTCTCTTTAATCTCTTTCTGCATCTGTAGTAGCCAGCAAGTGTCACTCGCTAGTAAGTATGGAAGCCTTGTCAACATTTATCAAGACAGAGCCACAGTCCACACATCTTGCACTGGATCTGATAAGACACTGGTTAGGTGAAACCAATCTGCATTAGGAAAATACACCAATAAGCCCTCACCACCACCACCACCACCACACAAACAGGGGCGCAGAGGAAATTTGTTTCTGGACCAGCAGAAGTGACCGGGCTGGTTAGATGCGACTTTTTCTCCATCACATAGTGGAGTTGTGTTGACATTCATTTGACTCTGAGCCAGCCTTATTAATGTCACATGTTGCTGCCAGCGAGAATTGGGTATCAGCATGCTGGCGGGGACACTAGCCAGTTCTTGGCAGGAGGTAGGAGCCAGTCAAATAGTCCGAGAATCAAAGACCTATGGCCTGGATCCATGGAAGAAAACAAAAACGCCTGCCCAGCCGCCTTTGGCTTTCTCTGGGAGCTTCTTATCAGGACCGGCTTGCTACCTAGGAAGAGCCCGACTGATAGCTAATCATGACTTTCCCCAGGGGTTAGAGGAAGCTTTGGCTGCAGGCAGGAGGCGTCCTCCCTTGCATTCCTCAGCCGTGCAACACGCAACGCCATGGCATCGGCCCCAACAAAGGCCCGGCTCTCCATTCCCAGGCCCCTGTGTACGGCCGGCCCGCGCAGAGTTTACAAAGCCGCCAAGCAGCCAGAAGAATTGGGGTTTATGTTTCCTTTCAGTCGCTCACAAACACATTAGTGATCTGCCCTTTTTTCACCACTAGGGGAATAAGAGGTTACAAAATGCACTGGGGTTTTGGGACTGGGTTTGTTTTGTTGTTTTCCTTTTTCTTATTTAAATGTCTACTTTTTTTTTTTTTTTTTAATCTGAAGCAAGTGACTTCTCTGCTCTGAAGGAATGCACTTTCTTATGTGGCCATGCTGACGCTTTGACAATGATGAACACATTGAAGTTGTGCCCCACTTGTTTACAAAAGTCTCCTTTTGCTAGCACATCAAAAGCATTTTTCTCTTCTCCGCGAGTACAATGGTATATTCGTGCTGGCAGCTTTGACTTAGAGGTTTGAAGCATCACTTTATTGGCGCTTACCACAATGCCATCAGAAACTTCATTTGTTATTATCTTAAAAAAAAAAAAAAAAACCAACCTAAACTCAGAAAAACCACCCCAACCCACCAACATTGCATTTCACGGAAATATCTTTGTGGTTTGTGACATCAGAATCGTAGCGGAGAGAAATGACCTCAAGCTCTAAGATGTTGCATAGCACTGGCTCAAGGCTGAAGGTGAAATTTGATGGCCAGATTGGAGTCCATTGATCTGCTGATTGATGCCTAGACCCTTGCCCACGTCAATGTTTGGATGGAAGTTCAGCTGGGCTACCATTCCACAACTGGGGTGTTCTTAGAGTATGTTGTGGTGGGTGTTAGGTGCGGTCAAGTATGACCCGTAGTAACCCTATAAACAACAGATCTGAACTCTGTCCGATCCTGTGCCATCTTCACACTTCCTGATACACTAGAGCCCATGGCCGCAGTCACCATGTCAATCCACCTGGTTGAGGGTCTTCCACTCTTTCCCACTCTCCACCTTTCCAAGCATGATGCCCTTCTCCAAGGAATAGCCTCTCCTAGCAACATGCCTGAAGTATGTATATGAGATGAAGCTTTATCATCTTGACCTCCAAGGAGCACTCAGTCTGAACTTTCGTCAAGATATATCTGTTTGGTCTTTTGACAGTCCATAGGATATTCACTATTATTCTCCAACACCACAGTTCCAGGATATCAACTCTTTTTTTTTTATTTAAAAAATGTATTTTTATTTTATATGATTTACATATGGAGTTTGTATATATTATATTTCATGCATATATATGTATTTCATTCATTCCCTCATTAACCTTGTTCTTCATACAATCATTCCCGTGCACTGTGTTTTATAAAATCAATCACCGTTGATTCACACTCACTATTACCCTGTATTTTCAGGTCCCCACAGAATCTTTTCTGATTCCTTCACTCCCTCCCTCACACAACCAAGCTGTGACCCCATTCTTTCCCCTTCTTCACACTTTCAGCCTCCCTGCATCTTCCCCTTCCTTTGGACTTACTTTTTTTTTTTTAATTAATTTTAATGAAGGTTTACAGAGACTTGGGGTTTCCAGTCATTCATTGTTGCAGACATCAACTCTTGTTCTGTCATCCTTATTCCATATACTCTTCTTGGAGTATAGACGGGGCATTCTTCTTCCTGTTAACGGTCTTGAACTACCTGAAAGCACTGGGAAATAAAGGCTTAACCATGCTAATTCTGGCCTCTTTAAAAGGTTGCTGCTTGTCATCAGGGCACCATTTATCTCTTCGCTAAGAATGCATGCCCAACTAGTATCTAGTTTTGCACACGGGATAGCAGGCAAAACTGGGAGGGCTCATAGTCCCAACAACCACTAAAATTCACTGCTGCTGTGTCAGAACTGACTCACAGTTGCAGGTTTTCGTGAGACTGAATCACACAGATTGACCATTTTTCTCCTGCAGAGCAGCTGGTGGATTTGAACCACCAGAGAGGCAAGGTAGCAGCACAACTCCCTACAGACTATGCCACCAGAGCTCACCAGCAACCACAAATGGCAAGAAACAAGGAAAACACATATTGTTTAAGGGATTGACTATTTACTGGAAAATTGTAGACTCCCAAGTCAGCATGCACCTTGTAGAGTCATTGATGAACGAGGGACCATGAGTGGGCAGTGTCTTATGTCATCTGTTCACATGGAAAATATAGGTTAAGATGGGTGTGTTGCCCTCAAATAAATGGAGGCCATTGCATGTCTATCTTAATGGGAAGTTGATCTTAAAGCAGACATGACTCTCATCATTTGGAAAAACTCATTAGACTAGATTAGAAAAATCATTTCAATAGAAAATCTATTTTTCTGAGGGTTTCTCTCCAATACGGAAAGAAGTGACATACCGGGATTTGAACTGATTGATATTGATGCTGATGTCTGTAAACGGAACTTGAAGCACGAAGCTCCTGGGAAGGCTCGGGGAGGAATGGCCTTTTATTCCACCTGCAGCATTAGCTGTGTCAGCTGGGTGCAAGCTCAGAGTCTCGCAGTGTCAGCCGCTGCTGCGCGCAGGAACGAGTAATCAGTATAATGGAACATTCCTGATTGGGTTTCCTTGCTGCAGAACAAAGCATTCATCTGGCCCTTTCACACGTTCAAGCAGGCCGCTTCATGTCTGAATGCAGTTTAGTGTGATGGAAATAGATATAAAAACATGAATTAGTTATGATGCCTTCCTCCATCGCCCCACAGGAAACAAAGCCAATGAAATAATCAAGACTGATTGCCCAAGGCAGAGCTAATGATTTCCTTGTTCTGCTGTTATTACTGTTGTTAGATGCCATGCTCATGGTGGCGGAGAGGCTAGAGGGGCCTTTCAATATTGAATCGGTCATGGATCCCATTGACGTGAAGATCTCAGATGCCATCATGAACATGCAGGAGAACAGTGTGCAGGTGTCTCAGAAGGTAATGAAGGCGGGAGACTAGATGGCGTAGAGGGTGGCGGCTGCGGGTCCCTTCTCATTTGTGATGTGACCTCCCGAACGTGACTGCGCTTGTTCTGATGCAGGTTTTCCAGGGTTGTGGTCCCCCCAAGCCCCTTCCGGCAGGCCGGATTTCCCGCTCCATCTCGGAAAGCTCTTTCAGCGCTCGCTTTCGACCTTACCATCCCGAGGAACGCCCCACCACTGCCGCGGGCACGAGCTTGGACAGACTGGTGAGAGTTTTGCTATCTTGATGCCTTGAGCTTTAATGCAAGGGAACCGCAGCACATTTGTGTGCAGTGAAGTCTTACTTGGTAGGCTCGCAAGGTCTGGGTATTTGAGGTGGAACTTATCAAGTCAGTGCTCTCTGTATATGTCAGTAGAGCTGAAGTTCTCACATTCTAGCTCAGCAAGTCCAGCCTTTGTCAGTTTCCTTTGCTGAGCATCTCCAGTGTGTCCATCCTGGGAGGCTTGGGTGAATGAGAGCGGTCCATGCTCCGAAAAGAAGAAGGAGTTTATATGTGCATTGTCTCAGGCCTCTTACCAGAGTGTAAAATGTAAGATGTATTATTACTACTGCAGTAACAAAGACAGCTAGGAGCCTGGGAATGAAGCAGTTGGTACTTGCCTCCTAACTGATGGCTTAAATCCACCCAGTGGCTCAGAAGAAAAAAAAAAGACCTAGCTATCTGCTTCTTTAGGAAGCTCTGGTGGCCTAGTGGCCAGAAGCTGCTCTGCAATCCTGAAGGCACACGGTTCGAGGCCAGCAGCTGCTCCATGGGAGAAGGATGGGCAGTCTCCTCCCATGCAATTAACTGCCTCTGAAAACCCGCCAGAGAGTCAGCTATGGGTCAGTTCCGACTTGACAACAATCGGCTTCTGTAAAGATTACAAGAAGAAAATCTCACAGGCAGTTTACTCGCTAACACATGGAACCACAATGACTTAGTGGCCAATCAGCACAGCAGATGAGGGGACTGCAGGCCAGGGAGCCTGCGGAAGCAGGAGCTGATGGCGTGGGGAGGAGAGGAATGACAAGCAGCTTTCATGGGGTTGTTGTACACCTTTGAGTCAATTCTGTATGACAGGGTGGAACTTCCCCACAGGGTAATCTAGGCTGTAATCTTGAAAGAACCAGACTGCCAGGCTTTTGCTCTGCAGAACCACTGGTGGATTCAAACCACTTCCCTCTCAGCTAATTGCCAAGAACTTAGCTATTGCATCACCAGACTGAGTGCTTACTTGTTGTGGCATCGGGATTCATTGATGAACTTGGCCCTGACTATGAGAGATAGGAATGTCTGAGCATTGCGCCTGTGGCTCACAGAACCTGGTTGACCTCCAGATGGGAGTTAAAACGAGCAGGTAGAATAGTGGGTCTAGCTTGCATTTCAAGTACAGATTCATTTACATGATTCTGTGCTTAGAAGTGGAAAATGGATCTGCATGTTGTGATCTTCAGAAAAGTTGAAGAATGACTTGCTTATTACTCTAGAGAGCCATTTGAAATGAGAAAAAGGCCCATCCATCAGTGCCTTTGTGTTGTTTTATACAAAGATCTCATTTCTTTTTCTTCTTTTTCTTCACTAGGTTATTGATGTCAAAGAGAAACTGAAACAGGCCAAGAAGTTCTGGTCCTCTCTTCCCAGCAGCGTTTGCAACGACGAGAGGATGGCTGCGGGCAACGGCAATGAGGATGATTGCTGGAACGGCAAGGGCAAAAGCAGGTGAGCCTGCAGTGAGCACATTCGCCACCGCTCGCCTGTGTCTGGGCGCCCTCGGAGAGCGTTCTTCCTCTTGTCATTTGAGGCATCACAGAGCGGTGCCCAGTTGATCGAAGCCCTTGTGGCTCGGTGGGTCAAAGGGCTCAGCAGCTTGGCCAAAGAGCGGTGACTCAGACCCACAGGCAAAAGCTCTGCCAGTCTGCCCTCATTCATCAAGATTACAGCCTAGAAAACCCCATGGGACAGTGCAGCTCTGTCAGTGCGGGCCTACTACAAGCTGAAATCTAGTCAGAGGCACCTAGAGACAAGGAACAGCATGGAAGGCCTATAGAGGATCTTGGGAATGACTTCTGTCTTTGAAATATTGGGGAAGCACCTGGCTGTTTGCAGAGAGTACAGGGGAGACATATAT